CTCTAACCTCCTTCATTTCCTCTGGCCAAGACACAGAAACAAGCTGGACAGAAAACCTCAGTTGTTTTGAACTATCTTTGAAGCTCTGCAGTGTTCACTGGCAGTTCAAAGCCAAGTTGCAGAGCGTGAGAAGCATGGTCAAAGAGAGGAGTACCCCTGTGCAGCAGCCTAGGAGGCCAAGGAGCAGGTATCAGTTTCCCATGGCTGCTGTAACAGATTACCACAAATGTGGTGGCTTAAAAACAACACAGATGACTTCTCTTACAGTTTTAGAAGCCAGAAGTCTGAAATCAGCTTCAGTTGGTTGAAATCAAGACGTTGGCAGGGCTGGGCTCCCTCCAGAGGCTCTGAACAGAAAATTCATTTTCTTGACTTTTTCAGCTTCTAGTGGCCACCTGTGTTCCTTGGCTTGTGGCCCCTTCCTCCACCTTCAGAGCACATCGCTCCAATCTCTGCTTCCATTATCACAGCGTCTTCTCCTCTCAGGAGTCAAATCGCTCTCTTCCCCCCTTATAAGGACACTTGTAATTACATTTAGAGCCCTCCCAGATAACCCAGGATAATCTCTCCATCTCAAGCTCTTTAATTTAGTCACATCTGCAAAGTACCTTTTTTGCCATTTAAAGTAACATTCAGGTTCCAGGGACTAGGATGTGGACATCTTTAGGGGCCATTATCCAGCCTACCACAGAGCACTTGTGTCTAGTTGGGTTTCTGGAAAAATATTCCTCTCACTATCCACTAACATTGACTAAGTTATGAGCATGGGGCCTGAGAAAAAAAGGAAGATGTTTTCTATAATAAAGATCAAAATAGAGAAATCCCATGTAGTTTGGCTCCTGTCTTGTCACAGGTTTACCTTTCTCAACCATGTTTTGCCTGTTAAGCTATCTGGTTTGTATTCACTGAATCCCAGAAGCACCCCATGCCTTGGACAGAGGTCCAGTTCCACTGTGCTCAGCACTGTGAGAAATTGTCCACCTGTTATTCAGAAACTCGATTTCCAACCAAAATTGGGCCTCAGAGTCACACTCGTTCATGTGTGTCAAAGGTCCAGCAGTGGTCTTGTTGCTGTATCCCAGATCAAGCACGGAGAAGGAAAAGAGCTTTGTTAGAACTCACCAAACCTCTTGTAACCGAAGGACTGCACCTCCTCTTCCTCTGCGAAGTCGTCTGCAGGAGAAGAAAAGACACAGTGTTAACCCTGGTGAGGCCCAGAAGTGCAAGGTCAGTGAGGGACTCAACTGCTATAATCTTTACATACTCCACTTTATCACAGTGGCTTTCCTCCTGCTCCTGGAACGCATCACGCTTTCTGAGAAAGACCACGGGGTCTTCCTCCTGTTCTTTATGCAACCCCTTCTAATTAAGGTCTCAGCTAAAATGTGACCTTCGAGATGCCTTTCCCAAGCACCACCCAGACACTCCCTGTCACACCACCCTATTTTAATCTCTGATATCCGTGTGTGTGTGTGTGTGTGTGTGTGTGTGATCATGAGTCCTGTGAGCAGAAGATTTTTCTGTCTTGTTTCATGAATGAATACCCTGTACCTAGAATGGTGTCTGCCACAGAACACAGGCTTAATTTGTTGAATGAATGACTGAATAATTAATAATAACTGAGCCTACAATCCTCCTTTTTAGATGCTGGCTACTAGGATCATTTCTTTCACCAACTGTGGCATTTGAGGACCCCATCATAACTCCTGCAGTGACAATCAAACCCTTCCCTACTCTCCTTCCATTGGATAACTGGGGCCAACAGATAGTTTGCCAGTAAGTACATTTCAAAAGACAGCCTTGCCATGGGAATTCCTAAATTTAGAGCTACTGTGGAAACAAGAGAGATGCTATGTCAGCCAAGCTTTCTACCAAAGAAGACTAAATCCCCTTTCTAATGTGAACATGATGCAATTCCTTATCACATCAATAAAGAACTTCTCATTTTACAGTTTTGCCAGGTGTGTGTCTGGCAATTTATTGTGCAATAAAAGGACACTTTTTTTTTTTTAAGGACACTTTTGATGACAAGGTGTCAATACCGGGCATTTCCAGGGAGCCCTAACCAATTAATATTTTTTTTCCACGTTATATGCTTTTATTCCAATTTCTAAGAAAAGCCTTTCTTCCTTTTTACCCTGGTGATGGGTATAAACCAAAAAACCTGATAGAACAGGAAAAAAAAAAAA